TATTCTTCCACAGAGATACATCAGGGCTAATGGATGGGGATTCGAACCTGCCACCTTAGGTGTACGTGGCTGGCGCCTTAGCCGGTTGAGCTATAGGCGCTGAGCCAGAACAATTTCTGTTGACTGTACTAGGTTGGCTTCATGATATAATAAATAGAAATCTGCCAGATGATCCATCTTTATAGAAATGACAATAGAGACAACTTTTTCTGGCTATTAACTATGTGTTTTAATTTAAAAATTATAATATATCCTTATTTCTTGGTTAGCTTATTATAATTTTATTTTCTTGATTTCCTTAGGATATTAGCTGCAATGAGATTCAGGTTCTTCCCCAGCAAATGGGAAAGTTACATTCACTCAGAGAGCTAAATATAAGAAGAAATAATCTTCATGTTTTGCCAGATGGTAAGATACGCATTATTTTTACTCACATGAATGAGACATTAACTATGTAAAATTTAATTTAATTATTTTTCATTTCTGAACAGAATTAGGAGATCTTCCCTTAGTCAAGCTGGATTTTTCTTGTAATAAAGTGACCGAAATTCCAGTTTGTTACAGGAAGCTGCATCACTTACAAGTAATAATTTTGGATAACAATCCATTACAAGTACCACCAGCACAGGTTTGTAATAAAAATGTGATACTTATTTCTTCTCATTTTTGCTCACGATTTTATCTGTTTGTGACTGGTAATTTAAAAAGCACCTGAAATAGGAGTTGGTTTGTTGTCTAGGTACTGTTGTCTAAAGGAGTTTTTCTGAGAAAAGTCCTTTTCACTCTCGCAGGAGTTTTAGCTTAGGCTCTGTAATAGCATTTGGAAAACCAGATAACAACTTTCTGTTTCTTAACTGATAATTCTGGTTATCAGTGTTATTTTTAAAAGATGAAGTCTTTCTATTTCCTACTCAGTTATGTATCTACTTAGGATTTGTTGTGGGATTGATTGGAGCATTATTGGCACTGAAGGATGGAACTTTAATACAAAGAATAACATTCAAGTGGAAAATATTCTGACTTTTAGTTAGGTGAGGATTAAATCCATGTGGAATCCATAAAAAAAGATAGGAATAAATTAAGATATAAATTTACAAGGGCAAAGAGTATGAAAGAAAAGAGAACAGTGTGGGGAGAGATGTCAATAGAATTTTGAAAATGGAAAATAGATGGGATAGTGGCAACTAGTGCCTCTACTTACACTGTACGAGATTATCTGGCTGAGGAGCAAATGGCAGTGAAATGGCACTCTACCTCCATGCTGTGTGCCTTAGTGGAGGATTTGCATACATCCAGAAGAAAGGTTGTTGTTTTCTTCCTACAAAAGTACATTCCACTCATTCCAGAGGGGATACATTTTCTAATTAAAATAAAGGCTGGCTGGAGTCCTAGTAGTAGCTGCTTCAGCTGAATGGGAAAAGCTAAGTGTGTCTGCTGTGGGAGAAGGCAACCAGAAGGAAGTTGATCTACTGCAACAAACCTGGGAATGGCTTGGTATTAGAGGAATCATATAATTCTGGATTTTGGGATTAAGGAAGGAAAACATGATAGTTTGTGGAATGTCTAAGGCAGTGCTGTCCAATAGAACTTGCTGAATAGTGGAAATGTTCAATTAGCTGTGCTGCCCAATACTATAGCCACTTGTTCATGTGGCTGTTGAATACTTAAATATGGCTGGCAAGACTAAGGGAGCAAATTTATGTAAATTTACATCGCTATATATGACTAGTGGCTACCATGTTAAATACAACAGTTCCAAGATTTATACCCTTGGATTCTTGCTCTTAGCCCTGCAGCCACATGGTTACCCTTTACTTAACTCAGCAGAAGCCTGGAATTTACTCTAAGAGGTAGGTAGATCCTTAGATTATTTCCTTTAGCTCAGTGGCCAAATGGCTTATTCCTTGCCTCAGTGGAAGACTGATGTTTACTCTTTAGAAATGGACTGTCCATTAGTTCGCATTGTGGTGATGGAAATGTTCTATACCTGCACTGTCCAGTAAAGTAGCCATAGTGGCTATTGAGTACTAGAAAGTGTATAATGTGACAGAAGAATTGAAGTTTTAGTATTGTTTAGATTTAATAAATTTAAATTTAAATAACTACATGTGACTAATGGCTACCATACTGGAAAGTACAGCTATAGAGGGATTCAACTAGTCAGGGGCTCCAGGTACATCTATGGATAGGAATAAGACCCCATACTGAAAACAGAATGACTGTATACTAAGGGTTGGAACCTTCCAATAGACTTCTGCTGATTGGCCCCCAGAATGTTTATAACTTGTCTTATTTATCTCAGTTAGGATTGGAATTAGGATTAGTTGGGTTCTTCCTTGGTAAATGCATTGAACCAAGAGAAAAGACCTATCTATATACCAATCTTTTGAGGTTGACTGATGAAAATGGCTAGTCCTTGTTTAAACAATTACTAGGTAGATGTAAACTCATCATCAGTAAATTTCTCCTATATACACAGAACTTCTCATTAGCTTTTTATTATCTCATTCTTAAAAGTGAACAGCCAGCCAAGGATCATTAAACATTGCATGAATAATCTTCAATATGAAACATAGAGACCAAAACACTGAAAGGTTTCAATTGAAACAAAAGGTGGTCCCCTAATTTTCTTACATGGGGATATCCAGAAATAGAAACCATACATTTTATAAACTGTTAATATCCAAAATATATAAGCAACATATACAACCCAATAGCACAAAAATAAATAACTCAATTAAGAAATGGGCAATGTGGCTTGGTGCCTGTGGCTCAAGTGGCTAAGGCACCAGCCACATACACCTGAGCTGGAGGGTTCTAATCCAGCCCGGGCCTGCTAAACAACGAGGGCTGCAACCCAAAAATAGCCAGGTGTTGTGGCTTCTGTAGTCCTAGCTACTTGGGAGGCGGAGGCAGGAGAATTGCTTGAGCCCAGGAGTTGGAGGTTGCTGTGAGCTGTGATGGCTCGGCAGTCTACCCAGGGCAACAGCTTGAGGCTCAGTCTCAAAAAGAAAAAAAAAAAGAAAGAAATGAGTAAAGAACTCAGGAAAATCATCAGGAAAAAACCAACCCCGTTAAAAAGCAGTCAAAAGACGTGAACAGAGGCTTTCAAAATAAGATAGAAAAATGGCCAATAAACATGAAAAAATGCTCACCATCACTCTCATCAGGGAGCTGCAAATTAAAACCTCAGTGAAATATCACCTTACCCCAGTGAGACTGGTTTTTATTTATTTATTTATTATTATTATTTTTTTTTTTGAGACAGGAGCCTCAAGCTGTCCCCCTGGGTAGAGGGCTGTGGCATCTCAGCTCACTGCAACCTCCAACTCCTGGGCTCAAGCGAGTCTCCTGCCTCAGCCTCCCAAGTAACTGAGACCACAGGCGCCCGCCAGAACGCCCAGCTATTTTTTGGTTGCAGCTGTCATTGTTGTTTGGTGGGCCCGGGCTGGATTCGAACCCGCCACCCTGGGTGTACTTGGTTGACGCCTTAGCCACTTGAGCCATGGGCGCTGAGCCAGTGAGACTGGTTTTTAATTAAAAAGTCCCAAAACAATAGATGCTGTTGAGGATGCAGAGAGAAAGGAATTCTTACATACTGTTGGTGAGATTGCAAATGAGCACTACCTCTATGGAAAATAGTAGGAAGAGTCCTCAAAGAACTAAATGTAGACCTACCATTTGATCCAGACATTCCAAAGGAAAATAAGTCATTTTATCAAAGACACCTGCACTTCAGTGTTTGGTGCAGCACAGTTCACAGTCACAAAGATACAGAGTCTACCCAAGTGCCATCAGTTCATGAGTGCTTTGTCACACTTAGAAGAGTGCTGTGGCATCATAGCTCACAGTAACCTCAAAACTCTTGGACTCAAGTGATTCTCTTGTCTCAACCTCCAGAGTAGCTGGGACTATAGGAGCCTGCCACAACACCCGACTGTTTTTGTACAAATGGGGTGTTGCTCTTGCTCAGGCTGTTCTCCAACCTGTGAGCTCAGGCAATCCACCTTCCTCAGCCTCCCAGAGTGCTTGGATTACAGGCATGAGCAACTGCGCCTGACCAGCTTTCCATGACTTTGTGTGGGATGAAGGTTTTTGTTGGAGTTGAGTTTTATCTTTATTCTCTTGTGGTCTGAAAAGATACAAGGTATAATTTCAGTTCTTTTAATTTTGTTGAGGTTTAATTTGTGTCCTAGAATATGATCAATTTTGGAGTATGATCTATGAACAAATGAGAAGAACATATACTTGTTAGCTTTGTGGTATGTTTTGTATATGTCTATTAATCCTGATTGTTCTAAGTTTGCATTTGTGTCCCTTGTTTCTTCGTTTAGTTTCTGTTTAGAGGATCTGTCCAGTTCTATCAGAGGAGTATTGAGGTCTTCAGCTATTATGGTGTTGTAGGATATCATATTGTTCAGACCAATTGGGGTTCATTTTAAAAATCTGGGAGCATTTAAGTTGGGTGCATATATACTTAGAATTGAAATGTTCTCTCGCTGTATTGTTCCCTTGACTAGTACATAGTGACCATTTTTGTTTTTTCTTTTCTTTTCTTTTTTTCTTCTTCTTCTTCTTTTTTTTTTTTTTTTAGTTTTTGGCTGTAGCTGGGTTTGAACTTACCACC